TGTTTGGATCTAAGTTTGCCACATTGACCTGTCACTTTTCACCACCACCACCACCACCTCCTCTATCTGATGATCATAGTCCCTCGTTTCTTTAGTTTTTTTTTTTGTTTATTGTGCAGTTTTTCTGTAGTTTGTTTTTTTTTTTCTTATGGTTGTTTTAGTTTATGTTCTATTTTTTAGTTTCCTCCTCCTTTTTGTGATGCCAAAAGGGGAGTAGTGTACTTTGATTCTAGAATTTAATAATCTGAGTTTCGTTACACAGATTCCATTAGACTGTCGAAACAACTTGAAATTTTCTGATTTTGTTTGCCATCATAAAAAAGGGGAAGATTATTACAAATCTAAGTTTATGGATTAGACTTTTGATGATAGCAAACATTCATAATTGCCTACGACTCCCTTTCTTACTAACTTTTCATGTCCACAAGATCGAATGCAACTCAGGCCAGCTCAAGATTAGGTAGATCTAGTTTGAGTCAGTTTAAAATTTTTCCTTTCTTAAGTCCATTGTAAAAGTTGTTCCTGATGCTAAGTAACCTTGCACACACACACTTAAGGGTTTTTCTATTATTTTCTATTTTGAGTACATCATCTTGTATGATGTTCATATCAGCCAGGACGATCCGACTAAAAATAGAAACTATAATTAGGGAATCCTAATTAAAGCAGTCGTCATTAAAAAAATTATCCTGGACGATCGTTGTATCGGCCAGTATGATAAGCTCAAATCAAAATGAATCAGTCGCCAGATCTATTTAGGTAAGATTTATTTTTGGACATCGGCCAAGCCGATCCATTACATTGGCCTGAATGATTTAACACAATTATGCCTAGATTAATTTGGTAATTTAGGAAAGCAATTAAGGCTTGATTGATATGATCACATCATCCTGGATGATTGCAGGATCATTTGGGACCATCAGTTCAAAAATCCTTGTTTGCTTTTGGATGATCAAACATCGACCAGCTCTTTTTCGAGTGATGTTATGGATGATTTTCCTCGATTTTGAACTAATCGTTCGGGATGATCGTGATATCGGACCGGACAATAAAGCTTATTTTGGATCATCTAGACCACCTTTACAAGTGATTATCTTGCTAATAATCTACGATTTGAGCTATTCATACAGGATGATATTTTATAATCCTGGATAATATGAACAAAATTTGTTTTGATCATCTCATGTCGTCCAGGCTGATTGAGCTTAATTTGTACTAATCATATAGGATGATAGAAATATTGTCCTGGACAAACATGTCAGTTCTTGAAATTCTATTTAAAGGACACAAATTTTCTCATGATTAAGACCTTGAGTGTTGTTGTCTTAACCTGAGAGAGCCTAGGTAGAGGGAGGGAGAGAGAGAGAGAGGAAATTATGAGGGGGAGTTTGTGAGAGGGTTTATAATGGTTTCTCCATATAAGGTTCCAAGTCATCTTCTTGATTCTTTGTCCTTCATCCTTGGGAGGTTCTTAGGAGGTCTACTTCAGCAAACGGTCCGTGTTCTCAGCCCGCTTCAGGAGGAAACAAAAGGAGCCAGCTCTCTACCTGCTACAGGAAGAAGCAAAATGAGTTGGTTCTCTACCGCACTAGGTTTGGTGAAAAAGAGAATAATGTAAAGGTTTCTCTGCCTAGCTGTGGGAGCTAAAGGAGAGGCACTTAGTTAGTGTAATACTCGGAGGGTGCCTCCGAGGAGTGGACGTAGGTCAAGGTTTGACTGAACCACTATAAATCCGGTGTGATCTTCCTTTGTTTTATTTCTGCATTTAATTTTTGCATCCATTACTCTTTGTGGTGAATTGATTTGATTTTAGTTTTGTGCTTTGCTTAAGAAAATTTTTAAAATACCAATTCACCCCCCCCCCTCTTAGTTAACCTCGGGCTAGTTCTTAAGGGCTTAACATCTCTAACGAACTTTCAGCTTGCACCCCGCTTCCTCTAGTGGCCTTTGTGAGTTCTTGGAACTAGTATTTGGAGAGAAGCTTCAAGGTCAAGGGTCATCGGTCCTCTACCTTCACTAGGATGATAAAAAATGATTAAAATTTCTCTGTCTTTATTAAGTGGGTTAAAAAGGGTTGAAAGTTATCTACCATCACTAGGATGGTATGAAAGATTTCAATGGTTATATATATATATATATATCTTACTTTATTTATGCTACAAAACTTTGAAAAAGAATATCAAGCTTTTAATTTTCTTTCACTTGTGTTAGTCACTTGATTAGAATTTTTCATAAATTTTTATATTTGTTAAAACACACATAACGGTTTTTTGAGTATTTTTTTTAAATGTCCAATTCACCCCTGTCTTGGTGCACCTAGGGATAATTCAATGAGGTCTTATTACCTCTCCCTAACTTTTAGCTACCACTTTAATCTGTGGTGCAAATAATGTATACTATATGTTGTCAAATCCAGTTTCAAATTTAATTTTAGAGCCCTCAGCAGACTGGGAGGGAGTGAAATAAGAAACCTACATACATATTATATATATCAGGAACTTATATTCTAATCTCTACTAAAGAATGAAAGTAAACCCAATCCCCAAAGGAGTCGCTAGAAAAATTATGTACCATTGATATGATATCCAATGTTTGTTTAAACAAATTCGAATAATTAGAGTTAATTATCTCAAAAGAGAAACTAATATGACATTATAGACTTGAGGAAAGAAAAAAATTATTTTTGTATTTTAATTTTGCATAGGAAATGTTAAAAGAGTTATCCTATTGGATAAAATTCACATTCACCTTTCATTTCAAATATGAAACTAGCCCAAGATTAGCATAAGTTGACATACAGAAGATTTTTCTCCTCCTAGTGAACTAAAATAGTGTTTAGTTTAGATTAGGATCTTGATTTCTAATACAAGTAAGCCTTATAATTAATTATATCTTCAAAGATAAAACTTTCAAATAAAGTGGAGCTTAGACTCATTTTGAATTTAGAATATATGAAATTTGACTTACATATATTTAAAAATATCAAACATTCCCTCATGAATGTCATTAAATTTTGTAGAAAATACATATTTATATATAGTGGGTAAATACTACTGGGAGTATGCTTGCTTGGAATGAGTAATTATCTAACAACCCAATGCACAAGCAATAATCTTAGATGTAATTCATGATAAGGTCAACTCTATCTTTATCAATGGATTAGATCAAACTCTAAATCTATGACAAAAGATGAGAAATTTTAACTTTAAGTTCAAATGACATTACTAACATGACTCAAAAAAAGTTCTAACTTTTTTCTGATTTAATCTTAAATTTTCTAATTATACAAATTTCAGAAAATTTTTAGTAGTGTAATAGCGCTATACTAGAAAGAAAAGTATGTCATCCTTTGAGCGTAATGAGGACCCCATTACCTTATCCACTATGGGCACAAAGGTTTCCTAGGCTCCAGTATAGGTAGTAGAAATAAAAATATTTATGTCTGTATGCATTAATAGTTTAAGGGGTTCGTGTATATAATACCCAATATTTTATTGTCCTTAAACTAGAAAACAAGCACACTAAGAAAAATCTAAAAAAATCTGCATCACACTAATGTAAGATAAACCTATATGAATGTAATATATGGAATGAGATATAAAAAAGAAAGAATGAATAAATAAAAGAAAAATTTTATTCATTTATTGAATTGAATGTCTACAAGAGACGTAGACTCTGCAAGAATGTAAGGTGGCTAAGTGAAAAGTGTAATAATGTATTATTTTATGTGTTAAGTTTTAAGTGAAAATATGTTATTTTATTTGTGTTTTATAGGAAAAAAATAATAAAGGCATAAAATTCTATGTATCATCAAACCTATATGAATTCTTAAAAATTAAAAAGGCACCACTAGAGTGCTACGACATTGACATGGTATTAGTAACTTCTATTTTAGTCAGCACCACAATGTTAATATTATCAACTTTGTAGTGTCATGTTCAATGCCTTCAAGTGTAGCTTCATCACAATCTATCATGCCTAAGAGCAAAAAATTTCACTCCAATGGTACAACATTCTAAAGTCAATAGAACCATGGTGTACTAGTTATAACTTTTATAGGACATGATCTATCAAGGAAATAAGTTGATTGTTCACTATGTAACTGATGCACATCAACAATCGCGGCGGAAATAAATAAAATTGTAACACAATGGTGTTAGTTCATTTTATGGGAACAACGATGTCAATCTTTGAACTGTTGAAGCGCCAGTTGTCTGCTTTATGTTTTCTTATAATTAGTCATTATATTATGTTCGTAAGAGAGTTTTGTCACTTGTATAATTTTAGTACATTTTAGAGTACTTATTTTGATCTCTCATATAATATAATCTAAGAGAGAGACTAGGAAAGTACTAGATGCACTCATTACAGTGTTAGCTTATGATTGTTGGAGCAAATCCATACATTAAGAGAGAGGAAGTGTAGAAGAGACGTATTGATCATTAATGGTGATATTATTCTCTTATATTTTTTATTCCTCTATGATTTTATTTAAAATGAGTTTACTTATTTTTTATTGTTGGTTGCATGCTTTATAGCCATATAATGGAACTTTTTTCGTTTGATCTTGAAAATGATAGAACCCTTTCTAAAACTTAAAAAACCAAAAATATTTTTAAAATGACTAAAGTTGTGTTAGAGCAAAGTTATTCAAAACCTCTGAAGGGTTATGAAAATGTTCCAGTAGATGAAATTCATTGGAGCATAAATATCCCTGCAATCCAAAATTTTTTTTTTTTTGAATTAGAGCCAATTATTATTCAAAAGGTTCAAAACTCTCATGATGGGTAAATTCATGTAAGAGATTTAAATTTATATTTTGCCAGCTTCATACAAATTATTGGTGTAAGTGATGATGTTATTAGACCAAGATTATTCCCCTTTTCTCAAGGAGATAAAGCTCAAATGTGGTTAAATTTTTTACCCTAGGCTATATAACTATTTGGAATGAGTTAGCTCATAAGTCTCTTGCTATGTTTTTTCCACCATCCAAAATTGCCAAACTTACAAATGATATAATTTCTTTTACTCAGTTTGAAGGAGAATACATTTATGAGAGTTGGGAAATATTCAAGGAAATGCATAGAAATTGTCCTCATCATGCATTACCTTATAGGATGGTTATTTAAAAATTTATAGTTTATTAGTATGTCTTTTAGTGCTATAATTTATGTTTAGCTCTAGGATAATTCAGATCTGAGCCATATGGGGAAGTCTATGAATTAATAAAGGAAATGACTACTAATAGTTTCTAGTGTCCTACTGGTAGGTTAAATGTTTAAAAGTAGCTGGAATTTATAAATCTTGCTTTATCAATTTGACTATGCAAGTTGCATCAATTTCTAAGAAGTTAAAAGCAAGAAGAGTAAATTTTGGATTAGGAATTGAATATTTGGGAGATCAAAATTCAATTGAAGATAATAATATGCAAGGGATTGAAAATATTGATATAACTGGAAGTTAAAATAATTGCTTTTTAAATACATATAATCAAGGTTGGAGGAACCATCCTATTTTAAATTGGTCAAATAATATGGGTTGTTAAGAGAGTTGCTATTTTGCATGTTTACATTCTTGCAACTTGTATTATTTTGATGATTTCAATTATTATTGTTTTACATATATCTCCTAACACTATTTGGAACATTTATTTCTTGCTCTAGTGTGTACTAACATTTCAGGAAAATCAACTCCAAGATATTGAAGACTTGTAATCAAATTCAACATGTTTTCATAATTTTTAAAATGAGAGGGAGTGATTGTAATTGAGTGAAAAATCACAATATACACACTTGAGAAATTTTTTTTTAGCTGATAGTACAGGATGAACTTAGTTCGTACGGGACGATCATGTCAATTACCCCCAAGGAGAGCAATGGATCGAACAGGCAGAGAGAAAATTTTTCTATGTTCTAATCATCCAGGACGGATTTAATATTCATCCCAGGACAAACATCTCTGTATTCTCACCATGGCCTATTCGTCCAGACAAAAAATAAGGTTCGTCCGAGGACGATCTTCTCTATTCTGAAGCTTGCTCTGTTCGTCCAGACGAAAAATAATATTCGTCCCAGGACGATCTTCTCTGTCCTGAAGCTTTCTCTGTTCGTCCAGACGAAAAATAATATTCATCCCAGGATGATCTTCTCTGTCTTGAGGCTCGCTCGATTCGTCCAGACGAAACCTATTCGTCCCAGGATGAATTGAACTGATATACGTCAGTTGGTTACGTCCTAAAATTTTTTTGTGAACCGACTTATGTAATAACCATTTCGTACCAGATGAACTTGGTTCGTACGGGACGAATAGCATGTACGAAAATATTTCGTACCAATATGCATAAGGTTTGTTTCTGACAATTTAAGTAAAATTGTCCAGGACGATCCACGATCGTACGGGACGATCCACTGCGTATAGAATTGAATACTTCCATTTTTTGGACGGTTTTTCTGGTCTTTCGTATAAATAGTCCAAATTAGACTGCCATCCAATCTTTTTTCCATTTGATCTTCATGCCTATTGAGAGAAAAGTCAAG